CAAAAGCTATATTGGATCTTCTGATAGGTGGGAATCTAAATTCAGGTTTATTGAGATACGTGTGATATTATTTTACTTTTTGTTTAATCTTGCAATGTGTTTGAGTGATTAGCATGTGTTGTCATAAATGGGAAGAAAGAATTAAGAAGAATACAAAAATGTTGGTCATTTATGAACTTCCATTATGCCTATCAGTAGTTCTGAGTGTGCAGCATTCCAGGTCCATCTGATTTCTTGTGCTTGGTGTGTTTATTGAAATTGAAGAACCTGTCAAGTAGTCTTTTTTGTATAGGGGGTATCCTTTACTGATGAAATATATCTTTTGCTTGCCGGATGTCATAAACAAACTATGATATGTAGAACTGAAAGGTATATTTCACAAGTGTGGCTAATGTCACTTACAAAATTATCTTGGCTTCCTGCTGGAAAAATGGGTTAGTGGGAATGTCAAGGTCATCTTCAAATTTAGAATCATTTGGCTGCCTTTCGAATGTCTTTTCTTCTTCAGTGTGATATATATTTCCCATGTATTAGTCTTGTGGCTGTTGATGTTTTCTGGACCTGTGATATGTTTGTCTTCTAAAATAATATTTAGCAAGTTTTAAAAGAAGCAGTCTGTTAAGCTTCCTAAGTCACTTTCATTTGAATGACCTCTATAAGATGTATTTTAAAAAAAAGAAAATCTAACTGCATGCAAACACACCGTTAGGAAAGAATGGACAGAAAAAGGGTTAAGCAGATGAATGGATACCAATGACACTTTATATGCTGATGAACTAGTAAGAAAGTGAATTCTTACTGTCAACAGCTATGAATTAGGTAAGTTCTGGCTTTCTGTTCTTTGATCTTTCTGGATGCCTTTTCCAATGCAAATTATTCCGTTGTAGACATCTGCTGGATTTGACTTTCCTAGCCACTTTACAGTTTGCAACTGAAATGTCATTTTGTTAAACACTTATAATTCTACTATAGATCTGTGAATAACAGAAGTAAAACAAATTGCTTCTGTCACTTGCACTTTGTTACTGTTTACATCAAGAGCAGAAGCATTGGAGCTTTTGGGAATGAGGAAGGCAGCAGGGCTTGAAAAGGTGAAGAAAAGCAATTTATAAACTCACAAGGAGTTCCCAGGTGTTGCCACATTGTAAATTAGTTTGATATATTGATTTGTCCATCTCATAATTTGGAAAAAAAAATGAAAAAAACCAAATGACTGTAATGCTACCTGCCTCACACACCTCTGAGAATGCTGTCCTCCTTTGATCATGGAATCTGCTAGACACAAAGAGCTTTGAAGAGCCATGTGTTCATGGCTGGACTAAGATACATTTTTAAATATATAAACTTTCACTTTTTCACTTTTTGTAATTTTGTTGTAAAAGGCTATTTTTTTCCTAGACATTATAAATGAAAAGCGTGTTTGACTAATGATACTGGTACTTTTAAAATGCTTTACATCTGTTAATGTAAATGTGCAATGTGGGATGGTTTTTTTTATTTCCTGTGAACTGTCCCTTTTTGTTGATAAGCTGTATTTGATATGATATATTCATGGTAACACAGATAATTCATCTGGAAATAAGAATACCATGACCACCTTTACAGATGTAGGCTTTCTGCTGCCATGATATGTAGGTGTTGTGTTTGATGTGTTTCAGAGTTAGCGAACATATTTTGGAAGTGCAGAGCTAAGCAGTATAGCATCTCCTGAGATGTCATTTCATTCTTCTGAGGTGGCCAATTTATTCATGAGACTGGCCATAATAACTCTTCATTAGCTGGCAGTTTTGATTCAAATATATATGTTCTTTTATATTTAAATAAGTATTTTAGCGATGTACCTTTGAGTTGTAAAGGTAGCTATTGTATTTAATTTTCTTACATGAATTATTTTTGACATTGCTTGCTAAAAAGCAGATGGATTCACCCTGTCAAAATAAAACCTAGGCTTTACATGGTTTGTTGTAGGCCTCTTCTAGAATTTCATTAGGATATCATTGTACAGTGTAACTAAAGTGTTTTACAAATCCCAGCATAGACCAAGGTGCTTGTTGGTTCCATAGTTGAAATATAACAGCTCCTTTTCCGTATTGATTCTGTCTGGAGAGAGACCCTTCATCAAGACTAATATAGGTTCTGATTAGCTGAGTCAACTGCTATTTCAGTTGACTAGAGAGGAATGCTAAAACAGGGACAGAGCATCAACCTTAGGTTAAAGCCAAAGGTTTAGACTTAATTATGTTCAGTGAGGACATCCACAAGAAGTTTACTGTATGCACTCCTTTCATGAACGCACGGACACCTCTGTCAAATCACATAAAGTCAAAACTAAGTGACTATTTCAAACTAAAACCACTTGTTATTGCCCCCCGACTCTATGCTTTTTCTTTTTTTTTAAGATCAAATACTAGTTTCCACCTCTTTGACAAGTCTCCTTTTTTTTGATTTCTACGTGTTCCTGATTTAAAAAGCAAACAAAAAAACACCTCTTGAAACAAAAAACCTATCATACAAAAGAAAAACCTTCCTCAGGCCTTGGCCCTATTTAGATCTCCCTTTAGTTGCTGGAGCATGGGGATTTGCTGTTTTCACTTTCAAATCAAAGTGGTAGGGTTTTTCTGTTGTCTTTTGATGATGACTTTCCAGCTTCTTCACCTTGGAAATGAACAGTGTTGTCATTGTAAGAATGAAGGAATCTTAGTGTAAAGAATAATCAGTTTGGATTGGACCACCTTTAAGTGGTCATTTAGTCCCTTGCTGAAAGCAGACCTAATTAGCCACGGACTGACTTTGTTTTTTCAAAAGCAAGGTGACAGGTGTGAAAATCTAAAGTCACAGTAAAGCTACAGTTTGAGGCTTACTGAGCGAGGTGTCTTTCTGTGCTTTAGGCATTTTTTAGTAGTTTCTAAAGTGGTTGTTTCAGTTTATCAGAAAGCTTCTGTCCTAACAGGTGAGTTACATCCTGAGTTACAATCCTCTTGTTGAATGGCAGAGCATGTGAGGGTCTGTCCAGTATATTGAGATCTTTAGAATCAGAATACCCTTTGTTTTTCAGGTTTCACGAATATTGATGAGATTTCTTGTTAAAGGAACATTTAGTTTATTTCAAAGTACTGTTTCCATTACAAATTGAATTAGTGTAAGTTGAGATGATAGGATGCATCCCATCCTTGACGTGTCTTTGACTCAGCTGCAATCACAACTTTTTTTTTCCCTTCGGGAGCATTAATGAGTCATTTAGATCTGCAGATTAGGTAGTAGGAATGGCCTCCAATCAGAATGTGGATTAGGAGAACCACTGTATTGCTTTGGTCACAGATTTAAATTAATTATCTCAGTTTGTTAGGAATTGCCTACAAATAATATTTAAGGGGTTATGTGTCTGCTCTTATTTTATGTTGTCAACTGAAGTGTAAATGTTGCCTTAGTAGGGACAACAGAATAGTGCTAGCTGTAGCTCCTTAAGATTACTAGAAAGGGAATATTCGTGGAAAAGGGATACTATAGGTGTTTGTTTACTGTATAGTTCTTTTTTTTTTTTCTGTCCTAGGAAATATGGTTAAATACCTAATGCAATAGAAATATTCCTTTTCTTTCCCTTCAGAAGTCTGGCCTGTACTTTTACTTGTCTTTTGCTCAGCGCTACCTGTTCTTTTTAGGTTAACTCCATACAGGAATCTTGTATCTTAAGAAACAGCTAAAATGCTGCTTCCTCTATGTATAATTCCAACTATTCATCCTGTCCTTTTGAATTCATACTTATGAGAGTGACAAAATTAATGAAGTTTGAGGCAAGTTGCTTAAATTTTATATTAGCTTTGCATTTCTTTTCAATTTGTACTTGGGTTGTAGTTTGTAGGATAACAGAATGTTCTGAGTTGGAAGGGACCCACAAGGATCATCGACTCCAACTCCTGGCCCTGCACAGGACACCCCAGCAATCCCACCCTGTGCCTGAGAGCGTTGCCCAAACACTCCCTGAGCTCTGGCAGCCTTGGGGCCATGCCCACTGCCCTGGGGAGCCTGGTCAGTGCCCCACCACCCTCGGGGGGAAGAACCTTTTCCTGAGATCCAACCCAACCCTCCCTTGTTGATTCCTTCACAAGCATTTTCAGGTTCTCTGTGACATGCTAGACATGGCTTGCTCTTATGTATAGTCCTATACATAGTGTATTAATGATCACTGTAAGTATTTACTGAAGTAAATTTGAAGTACCTCGAACACTGAGGTGTTATTTTAGTTTCTTAGAACTATTTTTCAGTTTAACAAAACTCCATAATATGCTAAGAATGCGATAAAAACAGATACTTTCCTACCAAGTTTTCTATTCTATGGTACTATTTCTGTTGTATGGTTTGAGTTAAATCCTGTAGTCATCACTGAAGCAAAATGACTTCTTGGCAAGATCTCTGGTAAAAGCTGTGGATTTGGGCCAAAGGATTAATTGCGTATTTGCACAGTAAAGAATACATTGTTCTATTTAATGTTCTAAATCTACTATGACCCTAGTATTTAATAGGTTTTATTTTGGATTTTCAGAAGTGGCCATACTTTCTCAGACTTCTAGCTAATCAAAATGCTTTTACTCATTTCCCTGGTGTCTGTTGGTAAGTTCATGTTGGTTTTTCTTTCCTGGCATTTTCTGAAATGGTCTGTAGGTTAATTTCTGAATCCTTTGTGGAAGGTTAGCCATGGAAAAGTGCCACAGTTGTTCAGTCATACTCTTTAAGCTTGGCAGACAGTGCTGCAGGGCAGCTACCTAGTTTTTGTGATATACAATATTACAGTTTGAGCAGAGTTAGAAAAATAAAATTCTGAGCACTGTCTTTGAGGTCTTATTTCTGATGCAGTGCAGTGCTGTGCTTTTCTGTTTAGTGTCTTGCTTGTTATGGGGAGGTTGAGCACAGTAACACTGCAATTCGGTACCATTTCTGCTTAGCTGAATGAGGAAGTTTTCATCAAGGTCAGCAAAAAAAAAAATCTAATTTTGTAACTTGTGGCAACTCAGTGGCAAATAATGAGATGTTCTTTTTAAGGGTCTATTTTTTTTTTTTTTTAAGTCTTGATTACTAGAAATGTAATATTTAGTCTAATGTTGATGAAATAGAACATAAAAAGGCAGAGTTGCGCTCATTAACTTTCACAGCCTGGGAAGTAATAAATAGTGACTATTGTATATAATTCAGCTGTCTTGTCATTGCTGAAGGACACTGTCACTATCTGATGCCTTGTGCAGTAGTTCAGCCAGACACCAATCACTAGCATTCAGCAGTGTTGAAAAGAAAAGTGAGAAACTTAGGTCCTTAGAGCGGTAGTTGTACAATTACTTTCTTTCATGACAATGCTTATGTAAGATATTTTTGTCTACCATGATTGTTTTTTTCTTGCCTTTGTGTTGCAGGATGTTGTTCCCCTTTTTCACAGGTGCAACTGTTTTTTTGAGATGCACTGTAAATTTAATCTGTGTTTAAAAAACAAACTCTCCCTTCAGAAAAACTCCTACCCAGGCCCTTTTCCAGCTGTCATGATGAGCCTGTCCTCTTCTTCATACTATAGGGAGAGGCATGGACAATTAGGTTCCTAGCTTAGGTGTTTTGGTTAAGAGTCTGTGGCATGATTTCACAAATCTAGTTTTTCATATCCACAGATATTCTCATCCAGTTTGAAAATTACCTGGTCTGCTGGCTCAGTGGCTTACCCTACATCATTGGCACTGCCCCTGAATTTCCAGAGTTCTCAAACAGCATTCATGATTTTCTTAAACTGAACCAACTGTGGTAAAGCAATTTCAGGACTAGAGGTTGGTGAGGAAGGAGAACACCATGTGACTTTTAAACATTTACAACATTTGGGAAGGGAGAACTCTATTTTACTTTTCTGGAATGGTCTGTGAAATTTATGAAGTGATACACTGACAGAATCAGAACTTATGTGTGTATATATATGGCCATATCTATCTATCTGTCTGTCTATTTATATGTGTGTGCATATGGTAGGTTTTTTTCATCACTGTTCAGTGTAGACAAGACACGTGAAGGCACAATAAGATACATAAGATCAGAAAGACAAAGCTTAGTGGTATTTCTAAAGTAATTTCTAGTTTTCTATATCCTGGTGTATGGATTCCTCAAATTCAGTCCTCTCTGCACAGCTGAACTTTTTCTACCATTAAAAGTGTTCTGTCAGCATTTGTCAAGGAAGAATATCCCCTTTAGGGTTGGGTGGTGGTAATGATTACATTCATCTGGATTGGTGAGCCAACACTGAAAAATCTTCCCTTGCCCTTTACCTCTCTAATAAAAGAGTGCTAAGTCACATTCCTTATTGTTCTTCTCCAAAGGTGGTTAAGGGAGGGAGAGAGACAGATGGAGAAACAGAACTGGCAAATTTCTTTTTCTTTTAAAATACTACCTCTGAATTGACTCAGAAAGGAGGAAGCTTCTAAATAAAAATTATTACTAACCACAGCTAGCAGGCTATTTTTTCAGTTGCTGTTTCAATATTAATTTTAAGGACAAGGTGTTCACTGCTGGTGTAAGCTGCTAGTACTTTACTTTAGATTTAATGTATATTAGTGGTTTTTTTCAGAGAAGTCATAGTAGAAAAAGTAAAATATTTTTCTTTATATCGTTCTGAGTTTCACTTGATAAAAGACTGTACAATATTAGGCCTTTGATTTATGTGAATTTAATGTTTCTCTTTTCATCAGAATGACAGTGTTGAGACTTCTCAGCAATGTGTTGAGGCTGACATTGCATAGTATGGTAAGAAAAAAATTAAACTGAATCAAAATGCTGTCATTTTTGTGGCTCTGATTATCAAGGGACTGAAAAGTCTGATCTGCCATTTTAACGCTTCTGTTAAAAATGCTACTTGACTTAGCGCATATTCTGCAAATACTGATTATACGTATTTCTAAATTTATAAGTGAACTGCAGATCTGTGCTCAGATCTTACTTTAGACCATCTCTAATTTATTAGATTAAAAAGTACAAGAAGGATTTGAACAGGTGTTTGATTTTAAGTATCTTAAAATTAAGAGTATTCTTTTTAAATTAAGAACATTCCTCACTTCTCAGCGAGCAAAATATATAGTAAGTGATGTTAATGCCAAGTATTTGCATCAAAAAGCAGCTGGTTTTATACTTGTTTTCCTTCATTTGTATGTATTTTGGACTTTTTATGGAAACTGTATCAAAATATATATGCTATACATCTGTCAGTGAACTTGATGCTTATCTGAGTGTTGTTTGCTAAGTGTGAAAGCTCTTAGGACAGTCTTAATACAGTTTGAAACTGTGACTACAAATTATGAGTATTGTAGTTCTCTAAAAGCATCAAATTCTGCAGTCACTTTAATTTCCAAATGGCCAACTTAAATAGGAAAATTTTCTCAAAAGCCTGTCTTATCCTGTTTTCCTACAGTGTTGCAACATTTGCAATTTAGATAAGTTAAGCTACCACATTTGTTACATGCTGAAAATAATTCATTCTAAAGTTCAAAAGTAAATTGGTGAAAGTGATTAATTCCTGTTGAACTACAATATATGTTTTATTATATGCATGTGTAAACTGAAATGTGTTCCTGTTATCTCCGTTTAAATCATGATAAATATGAAAATCTAGTGATTCGAGGTATATATACATACAGGCAAAATGCTACAAAGCTCCAACTCTTTGCCTTTTTATTAAGGACAGGAGATAATTGCCTATAATGTCATGCAGTACGACTCTTCCAGTTTTTCATTCATTCTGAAATACCCAAATGTTAATTTTGGAATATTTTTCCACTTCAGCTGTGAATCTGTCTCAGCAGATATGTATCACCTAAGTGTATAATTAGAATGAGAAAAAGCTACTGGTTTTAATTGTGACTCATATACTTCGTCAACACTAAGGGCTTTCTCAGCAGATAAAATAATTCACTACCTCAGAAAATATTCAGAGCAGCAAGCAGTAATGTGTAATATCTGTACTGCTCCTGAGATAAGAATACAAGATAGTTGTGTCCTCAGTGCCATGAAAACACCAATGTTGAGTTGTGTCACTTTTTTCATGAGCACTGTAGAAATGTGATTTTCAAAATCAAGGGCTAATCCAAAATCCTAGGCCATCTTGAGCTGCTCTTGGTTTGTATCCTCTGACAATAACTACTGCTTAATAAATACTGTTTTGTCACATTCCTGAAGACTTGTGCAATGCATTTTGGTGGTTGTTGGTTTGTTGGTGCTTTGTGCGTGTGTCGTGCAGGCTCAAATTGTAATGTCGTTAAAATAGCAATTAGTCACTTGTTGGGGAGGTTTTTAAGGATCAGAAAAATGTCCTTGGGAAGTGCCTTACAGTTCTTTACAGGAAGTACTGGTCTGTGCTGTGGCACAGTACAATGCTGGAGATCTGTTGATTGTAGCGTCCCTGAACACTGAATCATTTTTAAAAAGACTTCTCTTTCTCTTTGTCTCTACTTATAGTTTTCAACAGTGTGATAATTCCTTAATGGATCTATACTAACTTTTAAAAAGTATACAGTATAAGCAATAAGAAAACAAAAAAGTGGAAAATTGTCTGCAAGGATCGTTCTGTTAATTGATAATTAGTGCTTTTTTTTCCCCCAGTAATTTTTTTTCTGTATGTAAGGGAAAAGTGAGCATAAAGGCAATGGGATAATAGAAAATTCTCAGTGGATCACGTATTGTTTCCTGCAAAAGAGGTCAACTAAGATATCCCTGTCCGAAGACTTTTCCTGAAAGCCGTAATTTTATTCTGCGTGATGCATGAATTGCTTGCACTAGGTTAAATGTAATCCACGGTTCACACTTGTACTATTCAGTCTGATATTACCCTGAGAAATGTGTTTCAAGCAAGAATTTTGTATGCAGAGTTGAGATTATCACTTTGTCTCTTTGTTTTGTCCTCCTCCACTCCTCTGACTTCCTTCTGTAATGGGTCCTAGAGTCTCATCACTAAAGACCTTTCAGTCTTTAGTCTATACCATGTTATTGGGGATTCAATTCAAAGGGCTTGAACTGTTTTATTTGCTTTGCAGATTTCTCACCTGCCGATCTCTCCTTTTGCTCACATTCCTGACTTGAATAGAATTTCAAAATTCCCCCTAACTGTTCAGTTTCCAATTTAATCTGAAAGTGGCTGAAACACTGCTTTCATTTCTCCTGCATACATGGGCCTGAAGTCTAGGAGTCCTCTTAAACTGGGCTGTCTTCTTAGATCCATGCAGACAGGCTACTTCTGAGATTTCTCAATGTTATGGCCAGGAAAGATCGCCCAGATTGAGTCTCCTTTTTCCATTAATCCACCAAAACATTTGTCCCGGCTCTCACTTATAACTGAGATCCTTTCCTAAGATGCTTATTTTGATGTGTATGTGTATTTTTGCACATGTGCATATTAAATGCATAATTTCTTTCCACTTTCCCCTTTAACACCTCTCCATAACTCCCTTAGTGTGTCCACAAAGTACTGCCTTCTAAAGGTGTCTGGACAAACAGTGATCTGAAACAATACCAAACTATTTCATGTGGTCTTTCTGATATTTCAACCTGACATCATAATTCTAGATTGTATATTCTTTGGGCAAGGCACTGATTGAGATCCCTACGTACAAATGCACTACCAGTCCTAGATAATGTAAATCAAAAAGAAAAGAAATTCTCTGTTATTGTCAATAGTCAGCAAGATCACCTTTGAATTTCTGAGAAGTGCAGTGTGGAAAAACAAACAAACCAACTATACTGTTGCTGTTTATGATGGGTTTTTTAAAGTCTAAATGCCAGTGAGTTAATTGCATAAATATGTTGCTGCTGACTGGAAGTATTCTTGGAGATGTGGCAATAATTGTGGTTGTTTTTACTTGCATCAAAGAAATTATATGAATTTGTCACTTAAAGCAGGAAACAGGAGGAAGATTAATAGCCAGGAGTTGTTTTCATATGGATGTGCAGAATGCAAACTACCAAATAGTCTTGTATTAAAAAAAGTTTTATATTTTTGCACATACTTTCTTTTAGACTATATGTATTCAAATTATGCATTTTACATACAGACTATCACTTTAAATATTATCTTTACTGCATCTCTTTCATTTTAGAAAATTTTAGTGTTGACTTGGTCTTCTTGTATTTGAGGTAACAATGTAGAATCTGGTCGGTATCTCATTCATTCCTTATTTCCTGGCAACACTGAGCTTCTTTTAAAGGAACTTAAGTTCCTACTTAGAGTTAATCAGCAATTTCTTTAGTTTGACTGTTGCAAATGAAACAGTTGTGTAATTGAGGTAAGTGATGAATTCAAGTCACTGAGCTCAAATGCTTTGAACATGCAGAAACCTCATTTATTTTCCTGATAGGTCTACATAATAGATGACGCTCTTATTTGAAGGAGAGCCGTGTGGTCCACTAAGAAGGGGTAACATGCTGAATGTTTGTCACACTGTAGATAGAGAGATAGCAATAGCGAGTAGAGGTATTTAACTAGAAATCCAAAATAAACTGAGAGCAGATATTGTTTCTGACATAGAGTGGCACAGAGGAGAGACATCAGCTTTCCAAGTACAGGGCATCAGAGCATTTTCCGAGTGGTAGTACTGATTACATCTGGATCGCTGGCATTGACAAAGGCAGTGACTGACAGGCTTGTTAGATCAAAATACTGACTGACTGAAAAGAGATATTATCTGTATTGTAGTGATCCTGGGCTCCTGAATAGAATTACAGATTAATTTGGGGATGGGGGGGAAAGACTGCAATTTGTGGACAATTAGTAATCAATTTTTTTCTTTTGTCGCTGTTGAGAGCTGGCTTAGGGACAAGGGTCTGGATCATACTCCGTGAACACACATAGTAAATTCTGTAGTGATAACTGTGAGACTAAGTAGTTTGAGGGGTTGCAATAGTGCTGGTGTTTTAGAAAAGGATGGTATTACAAGTCTTGATTTCTAATCTGGAGGGTGTCAGGAAGAGTGCTGTGTTCAAGTAGTGTTAGTTGCCGCTGCTGCTTTCTCTTAGTTTGTCATTTTGCTGTTTGCTGGCTTAGGAGCAACACAATACTCCTTTCTTCAGTGCCCTCTCTCAATGGTCAGTGGGGAAATTTGGTCCTATGCTGTAATATTTTTGTTGTTGTAGTTTGATTTTTTTTGTCTGTTTGCTTCGGTGCTCCTGGCCCAACAATGAGTTGACCTTCATTGTTTAAAAATCTTAACCTTATGCATTTGGGAACAAATCCCACAGTATGCCAGTTCTGTGGGTGCAGTAGAATGGAACAGTTAAGCTGCACGGAGGGAGCAACTGGCTAAGGATGGAGAGATGCAAGCTGTCTTTTCTCCTAGGAGTTCTTTGTACAAAAGTGTGCAGAGTTGTAGAGGTGGGCTCTGGAGATGGCCTCCCTCCTTTTCTGTCAACATGGCAGCTGATGCTAAAACAGATTATCTAACCTATTGGACAAATGTTGCCTTTTTAGAGATTGGCTTTGTGTGCTCAGTGTTAGAGGAAGAAGAAAGACTCCTTACTTTTCCAGAAATTACAATATCTAGGAATTGTGTCTTGTGTGCGTGTGTGTGTGTGTGTGAGATTTGTGATATATCTTGGTAGAAAGAACTAGGTTGATAGAGACAGGACCTTTTCATTTCCAGTGCCTTCCTCAGAAGATCCTAAATGGATACAAAAAGGTGATTTTAATAAAACACTGTGATTTAGTTTTTCAGTAGTTTGAAGATAACTAGAGATTTCTTTCTCTTTTAGCAGATTTTTAATTC